GCCCAAACCCGTTCAATTTTCACTTCATCCCGACTTTGCCCTGCAGGTGGGGTTTTGTTTTCCTTTTTGGTGTTGCTCAACAGGTGACTAAAGTGACTGATGCAGCTTTGAAGTTGAATCGTTCCATCAAACATGCTGGTTTTCTTTGAAATCTCTCCCTGAAATCCATTAATTCGTGCCTACACTGTAGGAGGGATTTTACGAGCCCAAGCTGACTCTAGGTTTGGATTCAGCTGTCACTCCTTTCTCCCCCTGAGAAACACAAGATCTGCGCCTCGCTGCCAGTGTCAGAACAGACCTGGGGCCCAGGGAAAGGAGCCAGAGAGTGTTTCCTCTGCTGCACGTTTGATTCCTCGCCAAGTGAAAACAGTCATGTCTTCGAGGTTTGAAAACAGTTCTCTGAATTCAGTGACACAAACTTCTGCAAAGACTTCATTCTTACTTTCACGGTTTGGATTTTCACTTCTGTCTGACTGCCTGCTGGGCTCTCGTCTTCAGCTCTGCTGCCACTGCCCCAGGCGGATGGGGAAGGAACCTGCAGAGGGTGTCCTGGCGTTTTCTCCCCAGCAGTGGGTTGATTTTCCAAGTAGTCACACGTTCACTTTCCAGTTCAGTCTCACCTATGATGCCTACTGCAAAGAACAAAAATTAGTGGAAAGCAGATGATGATGTAGCTTAATGTGGACACAGTTTCCAGCACGTACATTAGAATGTACCCTAATGCATAACCAATGAATACACAGATGTTACAACTGAGAAATACCCAGGAGAGTTAGGCTAAATCAGATTATTGCAACAAAAGGATAATAAATGGAAAATGTCCTGTCCTCTGGCTGCCGCCTCTTGCCTTCTGCAGGCCTTCTTTGACACCTATGAAGCTTTAGTGAGGCTGCATCAGTGTGAAACACCGGTAAGCTGTGGAGCTGTGAAGGGGAGCCGTGGCTCCAGGACCTCAGGAGGGGCTGTGCGTGCTCTTCAATGTGCGTGCAGTCTGCTTGTGCTATGGCAGAAGGGCTCTGACAGCTGGGGCCGTGTTTGTGTGGTCAGGAAAAGTGGATATGAACACTTTCCCCTTCGGAAAGTTTGAAAAACAGAGCCTCTCGTTGCTGCTTACTGGATGTTTTTCATCTTTAGAAACACAGGTGTTTGAATCATGCTGTTTTTCATGGGAGATGTGCCAGAATCACAGAATCACCCGGGTTGGAAGGGACCTCAAGGATCATGTAGTTCCAACCCCCCTGCCTAGCAGGGCCACCAAACACACACATTCAGATCAGGTTGCCCAGGACCCCGTCCAACCTGGCCTTGAACACATCCAAGGACGGGGCATCCACAACCTCCCTGGGCAGCCCGTTCCAGGGCCTAACCACTCTCCTTGTAAAGAACTTCCCCCTAACATCCAACCTAAATCTTCCCTCCTTCAACTTGGATCCATTTCCCCTCGTCCTGCTGTTGTCAGCCCTTTTGAAGAGTTTACTCCCCTCCTGGGTGTAGGTTCCCTTCAGGTATTGATAGGCTGCCATGAGGTCACCCCGCAGCCTTCTCTTCTCCAGGCTGAACAAGCCCAACTCCCTCAGCCTGTCCTCCTAGGGGAGGTGCTCCAGCCCCCTGATCATCTTAGTCGCCCTCCTCTGGACCCTTTCCAAGATATCTATGTCTTTCTTGTACTGAGGGCTCCACACCTGGACACAGGACTCCAGATGGGGCCTCACAAGAGCCGAGTAGAGAGGGACAATCACCTCCCTGTCCCTGCTGACCACCCCTCTCCTGATGGAGCCCAGGATCCCATTTGCCTTTCGAGCTGCCAGAGCGCACTGCTGGCTCATGTTCAGTCTCTCGTCCATCAGGACCCCCAGGACCTTCTCTGCCGAGCTGCTCCCAAGGCCCACTCCTCCCAGCCTGTACGGGTGCCTGGCTTTCTTCCAGACCAAATGCAAAACCTTGCACTTTGCCGTGTTGAACCTCATTAGGTTCACCCGAGCCCAGCCCTCCAGCCTGTCGAGGTCCCTCTGAATGGCATCCCTTCCTTCCACCGTATCAACCGCACCACTCAGAATGTCTCTGATGGACTATTTGCTGTGCCTTTCTACCACCAGAAATGCTACTCATGTGATAGTAGTTCAGAAAGACTGTGCTGTGGATTTGTCTCCTGGACTCACGTGAGAAGGATGGCTGTGGAGATGTTGGTCTTGGGGCAGGAGCTGTTAGAAGCTTTTGAGAGTGGCCTCCGTGTGTTAGGAGTGATTGTGGTACCACTGCTCGGTCAGTTGGAGTGCATGAAACAAGTCTGAAGTCTTCTTGTAATGGAGCAATGGGAAAGGAGTCTATGGATTTGAGAGCTGACTTTCAGTCTGCGGGCATTTTCCAGGAGCTGGGGCGAGGGGTGAGGCAAGGAAAGCTGTGGTAGGAGGATGAGGTGTGGGAATAGGAACGTCTTCCATTGATAGCAACTCCTGCTGTTTGCTTTTTGACTTGGAATGCATGCTTTTTTTAATCGAGAACAAACTCTTTGTGCAGCTTGTGAATGAATTCATTCACTCCTGTTACTGTTTGGCGTTCTTCTCCACACGGAGCTGCAATTGAAATGGACGCCTCTGGTCTGGTTGCCAGCCCCCTCCCGCATGCTCAGATCAGCCAAGTTTGCAAGTTTGGTGAGTTGTGCCCAAGGTCAGACGGTTGGCTCTTCTCAGCCTTGAGATGTGTTTCCCAGTTGCATGCTGTGCTATTCCTGTTGTGTTGAGCTCTTGAGCTGCAGCCCTAACTGGGGATCCAAGTAGACTGACACAGAAGGAATGGTTGAGATCTATGTGAGCTTGGATTGGAAATGCAGTGCCAAGGGCTGCACAAATGTGAGACAGTTGTGAGCGTAAGGAAAGGCATCTGCTGGGTGAGGGCTTTGCTGGGTGAGCGTCACCGTGCTGAACAGCAGGCAGCTGTTGTCCTAGCAGACAGCCACATCCATGGGGATTGGAAGCTTCCTCTGCCTTCCAGCTCTTGGCTGCTGCTCTGAGAGTGCAGGTTCTTGCCCGGAGAGAACCAGCAGCAGAAAGGATCCCATGCGTGGCCTCTGAGCCCTTTCAGACCAACCAGCTGGATTAGCGTGGCTGGGACCTTGGTTTGGAGTTCACCCAGCAGGCTTTGCCCAAAGCAGAATGAGCTGTGGGCACAGCGTCCAGCAGTGGAAGTGGCCGACAGCTGGAGCAGCTGTTCTAAAGCTTAGAGGCACCCTTAATTTCTGCAGCCCTGAGCTTTGTGCCACGAGAGCTCTCCAGCTTCTACCCGTGATGTGAGACTGTAATGTGTCTACTCTGTCAGGCTCTTCTTCTCTTTTCTCTTTTAAGGTCTCTCTTTTCAGCACCTCTTTTAAGGTAGGAAAATTCCTGTCTGGGCCAGGAGAAAAAGAAATGCAGCAATCTTCCCTGCACTGTTCACTTTGCCTGAGTTGCCAAGTGCTCCTCGTTTTTCTTGTACCCTGCAATTCCAAGTCCATATTTTCCCCAAAGCAAAAGAATTCAGAGGGAACCACCTACAGTTCAGTAAGCCATTTCAGTATTTATTTCTGACTGTGGCAATTCCTTCAGTTCAGAAGTCGCACTTAATTGACGGTGCCTGCTTTAATTCTGACCAAGCTTGCAGTGGCAGCTGGCTTCCCAAGGCTGCAGTACGTGGTGGTGGCACAGCCGTGGGCTTCTGCATTTGTGCCAATGCCACATTTCCTTTCTCTGTCTCGCAGGTCAGCTGGCGCTAGAAGTGGACGGCATCCAGTGTGAGTGAAGGTCAGTGCAGGAGCAGCTGCTGCTGGGAGGAAGGAAGTGCAGGCTGATGGACGCTGACGCATCTCCCGGCACGGCACCAGAGGAGGCAGCAGTGATGCTGGGGGGCAGCTGCAGAAGAACACGAGGAGCTCCTCAGCAGGAAGCCACAAACCTGCAGAAAGCTGCAGCGGACTCAGAGCACGCGGGGATGCCCAGGAGGAAATGCAGGCCCAGCGTTTGAGCAGCGCCTGGCCACGGAGTGCTGCGGCCCAAGAACCAAGCTGTTGTGCCTTTGCCCAGATGGCTTTCCAAGGTGGACTCGTCTGTCCTCACAAAAACCAGAGGGCTGACTCGTTCAAATGCTGGCTGATTGCTTGGGAGCCCAAATCCTTCTGGCCTCCAATCTGGGGGAGCCTGGGGGCAACATCTCCTGGCTCTGATCATGCAGTGCGTGAGCGAGAGGATGACCCAGGCTGGTTACACAAGAGTCATCTTAATTTCTCTGTTTTGTTCCTTCAGATAACCCCATTGGGCGGCCCTCATGTTTTCTTACAATTCAGTACCAGCCCTGGTGGCTTTGGGCCAGAGCCCAAAAGGCTGCATGCAGCCCAGGGGCTCACAGCCACAGCCCCAGTCAGAGAGGCTGGCACACGCCCTGGGCCTAAAGATGCTGCCAGAGAAGCCGGGAGTGGCCCTGGGGCCTAAACACACAGCCAGAGAGACTGGCACCGGCCAAGGGACCTGAAGGCACAGCCTGAGAGCTGTGAGACCACTACGAGGCCATACTGCGTTTTATTGGGCTGCCCAAGGTCATCTTCACTTCTCTGTTGCTTTACTTCAATTAACCCCCATTCAATGAACCCCATTCACCCCATTGGTGAGTCTCATGTTTCCTAAAACTTGGATCTGGGAGGTGATCACTCCTTTGCCTGTGATGCAAGCGCAGCGGTGATGCAGGCACTTGCTGAGGTCACAGTGGTTGCCAGGCTGGGAGCGTTTGTGCCCCAGCTGGAGCAGAGCTGGTGCTCTAGTGAGCGTGCTGCACACGGAGACTGAGCTCTGTGCTTTTCGAGAGAGAGATCCTCCTTTAGAGCCCACTGGGAGCAGCGCTGCGGCGTGTGCGTCAGCTGGGCACAGCTCCGGCTGAGCAGGCTGACCAGGTGAGCTGGGTTGGCGCTGGCTGGGTGCTGGGAGGTATCAGCAGAAAAGCTGGGCTGGGGAGGAGTTCCCAGGTCAAACGGTGCCCTTCTGAATGGCTGTACCCAGGGGATGCCCAGCAGGTGTTTCAGCAAACTGCGCTGAAGTCTCGGCAGAGAGCCAGGTGGGGGCATGGACGGTCAGCACACGTGTGGGGGAAAAGCGGACCTGGGGGCACTTGCTGACAGAAGCCGTGGCAGTCAGGCACCAGCTGCAGCTAGGGATGGGCAGGCAGTTCTTGCAGCCAGCTGATTTCCAAGCATTGCCTTCCTCAAGAGACGACATTGCATAGCAGAAGAAAGCTGGGAAAATGCTTCTTCCTCATGATTTTTCCCTTGTTGATGCTTTCTGTAGGTTCCTCTCCAAAAGGAGAACTCAGGAATCCAGGCAGCTGAAGATTGCGGCGCTGCAGGCGATGTCAAGTAAGGAGTTTGGAGTGCAGGAAGGGGCAGTGAGAAGTGAACTATCAGTTGTGTTTGGGCTGTCAAAGTAGCATCTTTCTGTTTTCTGGGGGGACATGGGCTTACTAGGCAATACTTGTGCTGCCTGCTGGTGTCTGTGAAATCAACACACCATCTGTTGTTGTAGGGACAAAACCTGTGCATCTGTGGAACGGTGCGGGGCAAGGAGGGAAACGTAAAGCCTCCGCAGGTAAGAAGCTCCTGTGAGCTGTGGTGTGGGCACTGCCTCTAAACAGGGCTGCATGAAGGGCTGCGTGTGATGGAGGGGAGAGCAAGGGACTGCAGTTCTGTGCTGACTGCAGAAGTGGCACAGGGCTGCAGCAGCAGAAAGGCAAATTGCCAAAACTGCTGCTGAAGACCAGAAGCTTGTGGTTGGCAGTGCTCAAATCTTCCTCCCAAGAGATGCTCTTCATGTCTTTCTTGTCTCCTTTGTGTCAGAAGCTGATGCCAGTGGCCTTCCTCTGAAGCGCAGCCACGTGGAAAGCCAGGAGTGTGGCACAGCACCCAAGAGAGGTACAGACACACAGCAGGCATCTGGGTTTGGGGCACTGTCTTTCTGGTTAGGCTTTCTGCCTGTTCTTTCCTGGGACTGTTCTCATTGCGTGGGGTTGCTTGGGGTTTTAATCCCTGGGATTGACAGTTACCTCTCCTGTCCTGATTTATAATGGGATCCCAGCGTTCACCCAAGATCCCTTGCTGTGAACATGGTGCAGGAGAGCAGGCATTGACTCTTTGGGATTTTTTCTTGCTGTTCCCAGCAGTGGCGAGCAGCTCGGATGTGCCGGAGGACATCACGGACATCCAGGGTTTGCTCTCTTGGATCAATGGTGAGTTTGGGGCTGCAGAGCTGCAGGTGCGTGTTTGCACAGAGTGGGTGTGAGAAGGCTCTCATGGCCATTTGGGGGATGTTTTTGCATTTTCAGACGTGGCAAGAGCTGCTGAGGTCCCCCAGGAGAACCCCAGCAGCCCTGCCCCCGGATGTCTCATCGCTGAGCTCCCTGACAACCCTGGGGACAGCAGAGAGCTCAGCACACAGGCTGCTACCGGGACGCCCACCGACCCCTTCTGGGGGCTTCCTCCATCCCCCGGGCTCCTGTCTGAGCTGCAGTGCGGGCTGTCGGAGCTGCGCCCCGTCGTGCCACCAGCGAGCGCCCGGCTCAGCCCACGGCCGACCACCCTGGCCGTCAGCGCACCTCCCTCAGCGCAAAGCGCACAGCCCACCGAGGAGGTGCAGCAAAGGCAGCCCCAGGAGGCTCAGGCTCACTCGCCCCCGTCGCCAGGCTCTGTCCCCAGCCAGGTGGCAGAAAAGAAGAACAGGGGCAGCACCAAGCGGGGGGCCAAGCGCCCTGCGCCTGCCGGCACCCTGCAGAAAGGGGAGAGATCCCAGCAGGAGCAGCCCACCAGCAGCGCTCCTGCCAAGAAAAGGAAGCTGCCGCCCCGCGGGGAAAGAGCAGAGAGGAAAGGCCGCAAACAGCCGTGCCAAGCAAAGCTGTCTGGGGCCGGAGCAGGAGCCAGCGAGCTGCGCAATCACCTGCAGCAATGCATCCAGGCCGTGCACCCGCTGGGGCAGAGGGTGACTGCGGTGGGCCCGGTGCGCCAGCCACCCTCTGTGCAGCCCCAGCCCTCAGCCAGCGCTGGCCCTGCTGCCCTCCAGCCCCAAGACAGCCATGCGCACAAGGCAGAACCAACAGCTCCAGGCAGCACGGTGCAGGAGGAGGGTGCTGCCAAGGAGGCGACGCCGAGCTGCCCGCGCCCGTCCCCGCAGAGGAGCTCGGCGCTGCAGAGGGACCCACCGCCACCACCACCACCACCAGCGCTGCACCAGCAGCAGCCTCAGCCCCGGCGCCCCGTGGACTTTGTGCCCTGCGTGGGGCCGCAGGCGGGTGGCGGTGTAATACCGCTGGTGATGGAGGAGTCGCTGCCCATCACAGCGGAGCAGCGGCCCGAGCGGGAGCGCATGAAGAACCTGGCCCAGGAAGAGCGGCAGCGGGCGGCCCAGCAGATGAAGATCGGCCCCGTGCAGTTCCTGGTGCAGCGGGAGATAGACATGGCCATCGCCGACCAGTACGGCTACCCGTAACCCTGCGCTCCTCGCCGGCCCGCAGCACCAGGCAGCAGCGGCAGCGTTCCAGGGGCCCTGCCAGCGGCCCCATCTCTCCCCTCCACAACCAAGCCGTCCTCCGAGTCAGCACAGCAGTGGGATGGGACGTCTGGGAGCACAGCTGTGGTGGGACTGGAATTTTAGCATTACTGTTGTTTCTGTTTCTCCTTGTAATCTAGGATAGGTTATTACAAGCTTTGCATTCCATTTGCTACGTCCCTCTGCCTGCAGTCATTTGCGCCGTGTCACAGCCCCCAGCTCCCCATGCCTGCCTCCGGAGCAGGACGGGCACCACGGATGGCCCATGGTGTCCCTCAGCTGCCACCAGCAGCCCCAGCCCTCCTCTCTCCCTGCAGTCCTTTGTGCAGCTGGATGCAGAGGGTGTTTCACAGAGCTCCCTGCGCTGCCCAGTGCCGTGAATTGCCGTGCGGATGGGCAGCAGGCAGGGCAGATGGAGGGGAATGGCCCCGGCTCACTATGGCCAGAAGAGACTCCAGCAGGGGCAGTTCCTGTGGAGAGATGAAGCAGGGGCAGCAGGGACTGCTGTGCAGACAGACATAAAGATACCACCCATGCCATGGCTCTTCCGCGCCCACCTTGTTTACAGCACCATTTAGCATTCCCCCCCCCACTAATATTTATAATAGTTAGCTCAAAAAATCCAGATTGTTTTTAAATATTGTTTTTAATTAAAAGACAACCCTGCAGCCAGTGCTGTCAATATTTTTCACTGGACTGGGAGCTCCTCCTAGCAGTGAATTCTCTCTCTGTACCATTGCTTCTGCAGCAGTTACTGTTTGCCTCCACATCCCTCTGGGGTCCCTGCATGTGTCCCTTTCTGGAATCTTACTTCTCATTGGGAAACACCCTCACACCTTTCCTCTTTGCTTTTGTGTATGGAACACCTGTAATTTGTTCTCCTTTGCATGAACTTTATTACAACCTTTGGGCTGTAATACCCATGACAACGAAAACACAACTTGCGTTTTAAAGTGACGCTGCTGTGTTTTGTACCAATGTCCAGATCAGTGCTCCTTTGGTCTCTGAGGTAGGACATAATAACCGGTCCTGAGGTAGGGTGAAGGGGAGCGGCGTGAAGCTGTGTGCGTTCCCTGCTGGGGGGCCGTGCTGGCGGCGGGGGGTTGGTTTGCTTTTTCTTGGCAGGGTGGGCAGGAGCTCTGGGTTAGAGGAGCATCCCGACAGCACGCCTGGGATCAGCAGCTCTGCCACAGGAGGAGGTGAGGCTGCACGCCGAGCTGCAGGAGAGGAAGGGGAGGAGGTCTGGGCCCAGCTCTGGACGGTGCTCTGCAGCACTGGGCAGCTCGATCCTGGCTCAGCAGTGGGATCACGCGAGGAGCGGGGGAGGCAGGGAGGGCACTGCCAAACACAGCTGGGGTGTCTCTGTGCAGTTTTGCCTCCCCGGGAGGAACCCAGAGCTTCCCGGTTTGTTTCTGCTCCTGTAGCATTTGTATGCAGTGGGAGCATAAGGTTCTGCTGCCTTCTTCTTCTTCCGGCCTTTGGTATCTTCAGGGGGGCTGCAAGAAAGAAGGGGAAAGAGTTAGAGAGTTTAGATTGGACGTATGGAAGAAGTCTGTTACAATAAGGGTGGCACTGCAGCACAGACACTGACAGACCCTAGGGATCTCTCAAGCCCTGAGCACTGTGTGTCAGGGCCTGGGGATAGATGGGATGGAGGGCGCCATCCCTGCCCCGTACCAGGGGGACCATTGCCACCCACAGAGGTGCCACCTCATGCTTTGGACAGCTGTGCAGAGGAGGAGGGTCTCGAGGTGTCCTAGGGATGTGATCAGCTCTGACATCCTCCAGTGATCAATAAAGCCCTCAGCAGAGACATGCTCTGTCTGCATCCCCATGCTCAGCAGGGGCTGTTCGTGTCTGCTCCTGCCTGGCAGAGGCCACCTCTACGTGGTGGGAGGGGTCCCCAGCTCCATACCCCACACCCCATGTGCTGCACCCATGGGCCTCTCCATCCCTTCTGTGCTGCCTGCTCCAAAAAGGACACAGCTCCCCATGCTGCCAAGCAGCCCCAGTACCCTCCCTCTGCTCTCTCCCAGTCCCTCCTTCCAGTTCCTCCCAAACCCTTCAAATCTCCTCTCTGATGACCAATGACGCCCTCTGCTGATTAGCAAAGCCCTCTGACCTCACTGAAGATCCCTGATCATCAGTGGAGCCCTCTGACAGCCAACGAAGCCTTCAGTGACCGCTGACGCTCCCTGGTGGCAAATTGAGCCCCCGATGATCAGCGGGCTGCTGTATCACATGCAGGAAAGGGAAGTGAAGGGCGAGAAAGAATATTTTGACATCATTTGGTAGACAGCATGGTTTGCTCATCACAGAATAAAGATTTGTGTGGATTCAATTAAGCACCGAATTTGGAGAGAAGTGTGACTGCACCACACCTGTGTGCGCTGCCCGCTGCCTGGGACCGGCTGCCTGATTCTAAGCCCTCCTCCAAGAGGCTCAGCTGCTCCTCAGCGATGCCGACCCGCTCCTCGTGGAGCTGCTGCTGGCCGGGCACTCGGACTCCGCTTGGCTGGGCTGCACTGCAAAGACACTGGGTCACAATCCAGGCTGGGGACTGCGATGGCTGCTGGGCTCACGTCAGCATCTTCAGCAGAGCCAGGAGAAACGAGGGCGGGACGGTGGATGAGCTCCTTATCCCCATCACTGTTGTGCTGTGGAAGGCAGCCATCAGACCTGCAGCGATTCGTGCTTCCTGAGAGCTCGGCACTGAAGGAAGCACTCAGTGCACCACACTGGGCCTGGGTCAAAACCACTGAGATTCACCTAGGAATGAGCAGATACACGGGGTGAGTGTCAAGTGTGCAAGTAGGCCACGCCACTGGGCTGATAACCAGAAGCTCGGTAGCACTTACAGTCCTGTGTCTGACTGCATTCCGTATCTCCAACCACGTCCTTGCCCCAGATCGGGGGGTGGACAGTCCATTCCTGGGTGGCCCACTGCGCAATGCGAAGAGTGAGCCCCCGGCACACAGCCCAACTATCTGTGCAGATGTTCAGGATGCCATCACCGGGTCCCTCGCTCACAACCATCCACACGGCTCGCAGTTCTGCCCGTTGCCTGCTCTGACCATCCCCCTCGTCCAACCAGATCGTCTCGCTGCAAGGATCGTACGCTGCTGCTCTCCACTCGCTCGGGTTGCCCTTGCTGGACCCATCTGTGCACCAGGCATCTTCAGGGATCGGATATTTTCCCTCCTGAACGGGACTCTGCTCTGGTGGAGCGACCAGTCTTTCTTTTGCTGCATCACTCCCTGAAGCTTTGGAGACAAAAGTCAGTTGAAAGACTAGAACAACACAGAGCAGGAGGGGGAAGTGCAAGTGCTCGCCCAGAGACAGAAAAAAGGTTGATTCAAGTATTACAGTATGACAATCATGCACTGCAATTCAAGTATTACAGTATGACAATCATGCACTGCAAATACTCCAGTCAAGTGAAAATCTGCAGTCAGTACAGGAAGCCTGAGGTTTCAGCATTCGCAACAGAAGCCAGCTAACAGAAGCACTGCGGGAGCTGCATCTGCCTGTGCCCCTTCTCTCATGAAGCCCAACACCAAACATTTGTGCTCAGCTGCTACTTTAAAACACCACAGTCACTGTTCCAACAGCCCTCCTGCTACCTCTTCCATCAGAGCTGTGCCTGCAGACCCCAGGCAAGGCCGGGGTGCTCTGCCTTATCCAGAATAACAAAAACATGCAACGGCAGCAAGAGAAGAAGTTTGCACCTGCAACGCCCTGCCCATTTCTCTCTTCTGCTATTTGGTGCACTGCCAATACATGACCAGCCCCACCACTCCAATTTTTCTTTCTGAATTAGCAATAAGGCAAGCAAGTGGGAAGCAAAGGCATCTGGCAGCGATGCCAGTCAGCTCCTGCAAAAAGCAGCTCACCTCATACTTGGGGCCAAGTGAGAAACAGAAACACCCCGACCTGTTCCTGATCACAGTGCAAATGTGAGCCCTTTTCACACTGGAACCCTTTGGGCATTCCCTCTTTACAAACAACAGCAACAACAGCATCACCGGAAGCTCGTTGAAGTCCACAGACCAAATCACCAGAACAGAAACAATGGGAGATGGCAGAGGCCTCAAGTAGCTGCAAAAGGAGCGTTAGGGCTTCAGGGCGGTTGGTTAGTTTGGTTTGTCACAGCAGTTAAGAAAGCAGGGAAGTGAGAGAGCTTTGTATTAACCGAGTTCAAAACAGACCTCAGAGCTCTGATTCCGGCTGGGAGCTCTGTGCACCGGACCCAGCACCAGCCATCTGCCTGTGCCTTGCAGCACTTTGCTCCAGCAAGCAGGCCGTGCACTTACTGCATTGTCTCTGCTATCTCAGACAACACACAACAGCATCATTTTAACCCCAACTCCATCCTGGATGCAACCCCTGGGTGTGTGCATGGAGTCCAACTCCTCATATTGTGCAGAGCACGCAGTGCCCTGCATGAGGCCACAGAGATCATCACTGGGACAAACCAACAGTAAACCAAAGCAACCGCTGCGTTTAGAGTTACCAACACTAAAGACAGAGGTGCTCACCACACTCAAATCCCAGGCTGGTTTTGGGCATGCGTTCCCATCTTTGTCTTTCCCCATCGTGAGTTTAACTCTCACCTCACTACTTACAGCTGTGAGGGCAAATTTATGCCACCTACTTTTACACATCCAACAGTCAGCTAGCCAAGACCCAGCTAGCACTGTCTAGGCTCCCTGTGAAGTTAATCCAAATAAATATGCATCTCCAGAAGGAAAATAACTGCAGAGCTGTGGCTCCAGAGAGCAACTCCTACCAGGAGCTCTGCAAAACACTCGGATCCCACATCCAACCTATTGCTGCCGTGTCAGAGATGAGTCTGCACTCAGACGTTCCCTTCCCAAATCACACTGCACAGCTGTTTCTCTCCTGGTGCTGCCTTCATGCAGTGAAGTCACCTCTCCAAA